GTAGCTAAAATTAATGAATAATATGTTATAATTAAATAATTAAAATAAAATCAATAAATGTATGTAATTGTAATTTTCTCTTAGGAGACAACATTGATTGTTTTTCTCTATTTCATGTTTTGCATTTGTTGGGTCAGTAGAACAATATTAACAAACCATCAATTAATAAACAGTGACAAAAAATGTTAAATATTTTAAATTACTGTATGCAAGACAAAAATTATACAATAAATATCATAAAATATCGAATAAAATAAACATTTAAACAGTCGTTCGGGATCTTTCCCTCTCTATATCATGTCCTTTCAGTCAACATGTTTTACAAGTTAGTGTGTGAGAGGCTTAATGAATTAGAGCCCTGTTGGAGACTCCACACCTCAGCTGACCAGTAATTAACAATTAAAAGATTTGAACTATCCCTCTCCAAATCCTGTTGTGTTCCAGCTCATGGAACTGATGTTACAGGTCTTGCTGTTCTTTGAAACTATACACAGCTTTCTCTGTTTTTAGTGTACAGAGTGTCTGTGAGGATATTGATTACAGTTTGTTGTATCAAACATGCTATGGTGGTTTATGTATGTGATTGTGCCTGCATTGACCTGTGCGATTTTGTGTGGTCTCCGCTGAACTTGATAGAAGTCTAAAGGCTGCACTTTGCTCCCAGACAGCTGTACAAAGGTCATGGGCACTGCCGAGAGTCATTGTGAAATCCTGATGAATGTCTGGCACATGGACGTCTCAGAAGAATAAGATCTGAAATATCAGCTAAAGGTTGAAGCATCTAAACAAAGTTTTTATAGACCTTATGAAATCTTATGACCTTATGAATCTGCAGAGACAGAGCTATTGTAACCTTGTCGTGTATAGGGTGTCAGTTATACTTGTTATACTTGTAGCAACCCTCTACATTGCGAGTAAATCACTCACATATGCGACTAAATCTTCACTCTGGGCGACTAAATGATGTATTAGCCAATGGCTAATAAATTCTCAGATTTTACTCGCCAGTGTGTGAGTTGGAGGTTAAGTATAAGTTTAGCACAGATATATTTTCACTCGCCGAACACTCTGACTGAGCGCTTCAGAGTTTCACTCTCCATCAAGCGATCTGTGCTTTTTTTCAGTTCATCTCAATGGATGCGCAGCACACCTGTATTTGACGTACCCTAAACTCTAGTGTGAAGCGCACGACTCGCCGTCACTTTGTCTCACACACACGCAGAGAGAGAGAGAGAGAGAGCGTCAGAGAATTGACACGCTACATGTAAACGATATTCTTTATTGTATTTTCCTGTCAAAATAACAGCGTTCCTTTGGAATCCTTCAGCTTTTAAGAACTGCCGGGTTTTCCTGTAGTGGGCGGAACTAATGCGCAAACGTCAATCTCATTGGCTGGCGCTCATCTATCATCATCCCTGTTTTGATCTCAGCAAATCAGTTGGAGCGAACGCACACAACCTGATTAATATTCATCAATCCAGCAGCTTGTTTATCCTTAGTGCGTTTTATATTGTTCTTATTAGTATAGTAGAATTCGTATCATTATTATCTTATCAGTATTTTTGTAAATTTTTTCCCAATTTTTTTACAGAAACACTGAATGACCAAAAAAGCACCACCACCAGTCCAGTTAAAATGTTCAGTTAAAATGACTAATATGCATTCAAACATGGTTATCAAGTTTTAATTCTAATTACTAAAGTTCTATCATTAAATAATA